CCCCGCCCCATGGCCCCATGTCTCTGTGCTGCACTTACTTAATGGCGTAGTTGCAGACCAGGTACACTGCATGATGCCAGGTGTTGCCCCAGATGTTGATGCTGCCACAGGTGTGGATTGCACAGCCCAGCCGATTGGAGGATGCCCACACCATCTGAGGAAGGACAATGACAGGGGAGGCTTTGAGATGGACTCAGGGGTCCCAGGTTCTTTGAGGCTGGGAGGCTCCTGGATGTGATTCAGGGTGGGTAAGGTCTTCCTGGGGGAGGCAATGTTCCTGGAGACACACTGTGCTATAATGTTTCTCAAGCTTTTTTGTTTTTTACTACAACCAATAGTAAGGAATGAATTTTAAACTGTTACTCAGTGCACAACACGCACAAACAGTTGGGACAAAAGTTTTGTGAACCAACATTTAATCTTTTCATATGTGATATATGGTAATATTTTCTATACTGTTCTATTAATTTTCTTTCTTTCTTTTTTCCCTAGCAGCCACCGTTTAAAAATCATTATTGTGTTGGAGGTTAAAACACAAACTTTGGAGTTAAACAGGCTTGGATCAGAATCTCAATATCACTAGTGTGTGACTTTGGCCAAGTCAATTAACCATGCCGTGCCTCAGTTTCTTCTTTGGTAAAATGAAGGTAATAATATCTCCTGGGCTATCAGAAAGGACGTTTGGTTTAGGCCTCACATTTCCCAGAGGGTCTCCAATGTAGATTTTTGACCTTAACTGCACATGAGTCACAGAGAGATGGACAGACTGAAAGAAAATATTTGTCCTACAGTGGGAAGTTTCGGTCCCATTTCCTGCAACATTATATCATGCTATATTTTTGTGTGCAACAAGTGGTAACATATTCAATATTAGCACTCAAAATATACTACAATTTTTGTCATTTTATTTTAGCATTTTTTTAAGATAGTGGGATCCTAGGGGTGCCTGTGTGGCTCAGTGGGTTAAGCATCCAGCTCTTGATCGCAGCTCAGGTCTTGATCTCAGGGTCATGAGCTCAGGCCCCAATCTGGGCTCCATGCTGGGCATGGAGCCTACTTAAAATGATGATGATGATGACGATGATGATGATGATAATAAAAATAGTGGGATCCTGAAAAGACAGAAAATACTCGAAAATGTTTGGACCTATTGAATTCAAAAGCATTCTTGAACTTGTCAGACCACACATCTCCATTTTGGTGGTTAAACAACCTGGTCAGCCCACCTAAGATACTCAAAACAAGATCCAGTCAACTCAACTCAATCTACACACAATTTTCCAGGAATATGCTTATTGTGTGAAAGAAAGTCCATAGGGCCTCTGCTCTTTAATTTCTGTTCTGCCACATTCTTTGTCTTCTAAGCTACCAGGATTTGTTCTCCCTTGGCCGTTCGTCCCAACAGAGGGGTACCTGGGTATAGTGGGAGCAGACTGGGCCACTGCAGCGCCAGGGGCAGCGCGGCTGACAGTCCCTGGGGGCTGGAAACGAGTAATGGCGCTTCTCCTCAGACCAAGACTTCACAAGGTCCACCACTGAGCGGTACCTGGGGAGGCAGAGAAGATGGAAGACGCCAGCTGGGGAGTGGAGAAGCTGCTCTGCCACCACCTTGCTCGGTGACCTTGTTGAATGACTGAGAGAAGGAAGGGCAGAAGGTAACTCACCGGCCAGAATGGATGGAGAGGTTCTGGCCCACGTATCTCATTAGCTGTGAGGGCCCATGGGCCCAGATGCACTGGGTGGCCCAGGCCTCTGCAGACCTGGCCAGCCGCTCGTCCCAGACCTAGGGAGAGAAAGGCCATGAGAGGGGCGCCTGGGTGGCTCAGTCGTTAAGCATCTGTCTTCAGCTCAGGTCATGATCCCAGGGTCCTGGGATCGAGCCCCGCATC